GCTCTGGGGGCACTGCGCAAACAGGACAGTGACCGTGACAGATAGTGTCCCCATCTTCAGAGAGCCCCAAGGAGCAGGACGGTGCCAAAAGAGGAGGGATGAACAGATGTCCCGCTTTGCAAAAACAGCAAAAAAGGGCAGATTCTAGAAGCTGCAGAGCTCAACGTCTGGCTGAGCATAAAAAGCTAAGCTCTGGTTAGCCCCAGGAGAAGAAGGGACATATGGATGTCCTCAGGAGACCGCCTGGACCCACAGCGCCCATTCCTACCAAAGGCAGCTCATTCCACTTCCTGGGAGGAAGAATAAAGAGGCTGTGTGTCTGGGTTTCAGCTACACATATGACCGAGGGCCTCGTGATGCTCCCACAGCGGGGTGAGACGGGCTGAGGGTGGATGAGTGACAGATTCAGGAGAGTCTGAAGGACCAAATGCAAAGTTTTGATTAATGGATTGTTGTCAGGCCAGAAAAAGGTCTTGAGGCTTCACAGTTCCCCTCTCAGCTCTGTCCTGTTTATCATTTTTTTTTAACCAGGGAAATAGCTATTGGCTCAGAATAAAGAAGAACTTAAGCTATCAAACATCTCAGAAAAGCCATCTAACAGTCCCTTTGTAGTGAGGAGCCCCTCCTATGAACATGAGGACCAGAGTCCAGTCCTGGATGACAGTGTGTAGTGATGTCCAGCAATCCTTCCCAATTCTAAGATCCTTGGCATCTGTAAGAGCCCTTTGGACATATCCACCTGGAAGCCCACCATCTTGGAAAACTCAACATGTACAACTGAGCTCATCCTCTGAAGGCAGTTGGTTCTTCTGGGGACAGCACGGGGACTTTGCAGCCACAACTGTCCAAGCACACGCATTCGAGACAAGGCATTCCTCCCTCAGCCTCGGGGTCTTCACCTGTGAAAGACAGATGACTCCTACCTGGCAGAGTTGTGAAGGTTCAATAAGGACCTATCGTGTACCTTGGTGTCTGGATTCATCAGCACAGGGACAAATAGCCACTGAGTGCCTGTTAGTGCCCAGTCCTCTGCAAGGGGCTGGTGTACAGAAAATGGATGGCAAACATTCAATTACAATGGGCAGGTGAGCCAGAGAACATATAATTACAAAGTGAGGGTGAGACATGGGGGAAAGGAAGGTCAGCACACTCCTCTCTGAGCTAAAAAAAAAAATCATCCGTGCAGAGCCTTTCAGGCCTGGCACCTGCCAGTAGGCATCTGATAAATGACGATCCCTTTCAATGCCACCAGCTATGGTGTGTCAGTCTGGTCAGGCCGCCATAACAAAGGACCACAGACAGGGCAGCTTAAACAATAGGAACTTATTTTCTCACCGTCCTGGAGGCTGGACGTCCCATATGAAGCCCGGCAGCGTCTGTTTCTGGCACGAGCGCTCTTCCTGGCTTACAGATGGCCACCTCTCATCATGACCTCACATCCCAGAGACAGACAGACAGTGGTCTTATAAGGACACTAATCCTATGGGATCAGGGTCCCAGCCTTAGGCCCTCATTTAACCTCAGTTCCTTCCTCAGAGGCCCCATCCCCAAACACAACCACACGGAGGGTCAGGGCTCAGCACGTAAACTTTGGACAGACGAAACATTCAGTGTATAAAAAATTGGCACCTGCCTCTCAATTCCATCGACTTTCACAGCACGAGCCAACTGCCACCCCCTGGGCCTCCAGCGCCCCTCCCTGGTCTTCTCAGCTGGTGCACCGGCTGGTGTGGCATGGCATCCCCTCAACTATTTATTCTCCAAGGGCCAATGGCAACCAGGTCTTCACATGGCAGGCCGAGCCCTTCACCCCCGCCAGCCCCCAGGTTCACAACAATTTAACTCTTAGGACCTTCACACACACACACACACACACACACACACACACACCTGGACCTGGACACACTTTTTGACATGTGAACCATTCAAGACCCTCCATGGTCTGTTAATGAGGCTGATCATCATAATATCTATCATTTACTGACTAATGGAATAGCATAATATCTAATATTGACCTTGTGCAGCTAAGAATTTTAAGGGTATTCACTCACTCAGCACTCACCCAAACCTATAAGGTGGGTCCTGTGATTCATCCCCATCCAGGGAGCTCAGGCACTGACAGGATCCCCACCACCGGGTCACATGCTGGGATCCGAGCCCCCCCGATGGCCCCCCGATGGGCCCCAATGATGGCCCCACTGATCGCCACTTACTTTGCTTTCAGGCTGTCGCTGTCAC